GTTACTGTTCACAGCACCAGTTTTCCTATAACTTGATATTGCTGGATAGTTCTGATGAACTGCCAAAGCATTTTAAGTTTGCTTTCTGTTGCCACCCTGGAACTTTTCTTTATTAGTGCCACTTTGTTTTGTACGATTCCTTGCAAATGAAGGAAAACAACTTTTCTCCTTGTATATGTTGATAATAGGATTTTGGTTACTGAGAACAAACAAGAGTGTACAGAAAGAAGATTGGGTGCAGGCCTGGCCTGGACATAGGCATGACACACCTGTGACAAAGGTGACCTGTATGCTTGCATGCTTGCTTAACAGCTGTTGGGAACTTCAAGGTCCCTGCTCTCCCTTCTTATGGTCTTTATATTGGACCTGGAGACTCCAAAAGAGAGCATTTCATGTCAAGTAAGAGGGCAAGTGGGCACCCTATCAAATGACAAGGCAGGAGCTACACGGAGCAGGGCCTTTTTACTGGTGGTGCCCATTGTATGGCTCACTCTTTTCGGACCTGCTCTCTTTTGGCCTGTATTTTGGAGCTTTATAATCTAGGAAGACTTTGGAATAACAGGTTGACAAGTCTTATCAGTCGCTGACGTATGAGTGGATTTTATTTGCTATTATTCTGGGTTCCTGGTGCACCAGGGTTTACACCAGCGTAATAGAGTTGGCCAGGACAAAAGAAGGGATACAATTTAGGAGCTTTCTCCATTATCCGCACAGCAGGCGGTGTTTAGTCAACAGTGCAAAGGCTGAGCTGAAGCATTTTCTGCTGGTTACCTGCTTTCAGCAATAGGGGTCACTGTTTAGTAGTACCCAATTGGTTAGCTGTCGGATTCTAGAGCTCCCTATTGGTAGCTCTTAGGTAATTCCAAAAACACAGAGTACATTAATAAAACACAGTGTTCATTCATAAAGCAGTAACACAAATCTCCATTGCTACATATTGGGTGTGTATTTCAGCGGTTGAACGTACAGCTTTATGGCCATGCTGCAGTGTAGTGCTTATGCGACTGTGAATAAAAGGTGGCTGGGCTCATCGTCCCCAGGGTTTGGCGGGGAGGTGACAAAACTGATTTCCAATAAGTTCCCCCCCTCATTTCCATTACAAGTCCTTGAGTCTGTACTCTGAATAGTGACACCAGGGACCTAGAAGGTGCAGGGCTTGTCAGTCCAACCCCTGCACAGACTCATCAGGGCTGACCTTAAGGCAAGTGGAACAATTGGGCCACATTGGGCCTTGCGGGCCGCTCCTAAGGGGGCCCCCACACCAGGGCACTCTAGATGGATTTTATTTATATCTATGAGATTTTGCAGATTTTGGCTGTGAACTGGGGCCCTACTAAAAAAAAAAAATTCAAGCTGTGCCTCGCTGCTTCAAATTGGGCCCCACTGGCTAGCCCCAAGTCTCATAGTTGCTGAGCCTGAGTTGCCCTGCCCTTGCATGAAGTCTTGGGTTTGCAATTTTGGGAGAGGGGAAACTGTGGCACTGGGGAGATGGCAGGCTGGTGAGGCCCCCTAGAATTAGAGGCCTGAGTTGTCCTACCCTCACATGAAGTACAGTGGACCCTCTGGATATGAACGTAATTCGTCCTGGGGGGTCTGTACTTACCCCGAACAGTCCGTATCCAGAGTTGCTGCTTCTGCGCATGTGCGCAGCACAATAGAGCGTGTCTGTGCATGTGCGAAGTGTGCAGAGTGGCGGCAAAACCCAGAAGCAACTTGGAAGCACCCAACACAATGATGGATGAGAGAAATTTTTGGACTGGCTGACTACAAAGTTTGCAAGCAAGAAGTGCCTAATTTTCTCCTTGGACTTGGAGAGAATATTTCATTATGTTTTAAACAAATTATTTTTGTGTTTCGTTCTTATTGAGCGATCACTCTAGCATAACTATGGTTCCAGCAAAAGAAAATTTGTTCACTTTAACTATTTGCAAATTTTATTCCTCCTAAGCCCAAGAAGATTCATACAGGCGAAGGTTTTATATACACCCTGCATAAATGTTTATGCTTGTATAGTACAGGGCGTCCAGGGGTTTACAGGGGTTTACAAGGTCAAGTGAATGTTAAAGAAATACTGCCACATATTTTATGTTTGAACATACACTGTGGTTCCCCCTCCCCATGCAGCAAACTGTCTTTGAGGAATTGGGGAGACATAAATAGAACAAAATCATTGTACAATTATGCTCTCCATCTCTATAGTTCCACTGCAAATATCTTCACTCTCTCTGAGATCATTCGACCACATCCTCCTCTGACAGTGCATTCATAATTTCCTAATCCTCATGTGCAGCTAACTGTGCCAGGCTGAGGCTAAAATAATTCCCCCGTTGAAATGTTGCATGCCTTCATGGCCGAGCAACTGCCAAAGGCCCACACCCCAAGAAAAGAGCATTTGGACCTGCTGCCCTGAGAGCTGGGAGAGACTGCCAATTTTAGTTTCTCATGGTTTCTCCTTTTTTTCAGCCTTCATTAGTTCACATTTCCCAATCGGTTTGATTTTTTAAAATGAAAATTGTTACCTTATGCAAACTCACCAGTATTTTAGAGCAAATTTCTCCAAATCAATGCATGTTTCTATGAAATTTGTCAAATACAGTGCTTCTCAAGCTATCTGATGTGGTGGACTGACAGTTCTGGCCCCCTTCCCAGTGTCCCAGGGACTGGGACTGCATTTGGTCCCTGAAGCATCCCACCCTACATGGGCTGTGGTGGAGTTCCTGGGAATCAGCAGCTGATGGCTCACTGACTGGTACCGGCTGTGGACCACTACTTTGAGTAGCACTGGTATAATACACAGTTTCTGCTAATATAATACATATTTGCATACTATTTGGCTACGTCTTCAGGCAGACCTAAGTCATCGAGCCTGAGCTTCCCTAGTCGCTGTCCGCCACGAACCACCATTGGCAGGATTGGCAGCAACAGCAGCAGATATATTCTGTGCTCAGAATATTTTATTCTCTTGTTAATTATGCTGTTTTAAATGTGCACTTTATATCTGACTTCCTTTAGTAAGATTTTCTTTTGGAATGTTTACGATATTTATTTATTTTGTTAACTTTGCTGTGTTAAATGAGCATTCTGTTGTTGACCTTGCTTGTAATGTTTTATTTTGAAATCTTTAAGATAGTATTTTAGTTTCCTGTTTGTTATGCTGCTTTGAATGTATACAATTGAATTTCTTCATTAATGTTTTGTTCTGTATTGCTTTATTTGATGTTTCAGTGTGTTGTAGAACACTTTGAAATTATTTCCCCATAAAAATATAAAGTGGTTTGTGGTTTCAATTCATCCCTGGAGGCGTACTCCATTGTTTCTCAAGACAGACGGATGCCAGCAATAGAAATTAAATGAATAATAACAACACTAATTTGAACTAATATATGTATATTTCTGCCCCAGTAGGTGCATTTTTGTACACATTACTTGGCTGGAGAACTTCATTGCAAAATTCAAAGAAGCGCTGTGTTTTTGGGGCATGGTTCCCACTGAGCTCTGCCGTGGCTGTCAGCACAGGATTATGACACCTTGCGATAAAATATGAGATGTCCCAGTTTTTCCAGGACACTTGCATTGCTCTGTGTATCTTAGTCTTGTGAATGCTATTTGGCTGTGGTTCTCCAGGGTTTTATTCTTTCACAACACCAGGGGTGGAACTTAGGGTCTTTTGCAGATAGAACATGCCACTGAGCAGTGTTTGTTCCCACCTAAATGGCTTTGACATGTCTTTCTGTGGCTGTGGGATTTGCAGCATCCTTGGTGTTTCAGAATGGGAACCTCCAGTTCTTTCCATATCACCTCCACTGATAAAAATGGAAGTGCACCAGCATCAGACATAGATATATTTGCCTGAGAGTTCATAAGTCCTGGTCAGCGCTGTTTCCCACAGCCAAAAAACAAGTGTTTTATGACAGTGGGGAGGCATGTCTGAGGGATAAACCCCTCTAAAACCAAGTATGTGTGTGTTGAGGGGGTCATGCAAATATCTTCCAGGCTCTAGCAGATATTTAAATCCACTGGATTTTACAATTGCAGGGAGTGGGCCTGCAAGAAGCACCCTTCAAACAGCTGCACTGGTTGTTCATTCTGTAAAGCCACTGGAGAACAGCAGAAGGGACAGCAACTGTGATTGCTCAAGCATCGCTTTTTGCAGGTGCTAGATGTATTTATTTTTTAAATCAGTTTCTTGAACATTGTGCTCATAATCCCTAAACTCCAACAGAAAACTGAGCAACGAAATGTGACAGAAGGTTGAGGCTGATTTGCTTTTCTGTTAGCAGCCAAGCTGGCTGGGCAGCTGGCTCCCATTCCATTGGTGGGAAATGCTGACAACAACAGCTACACAATTCAGCTGCTAACCTGCTTTGCAGTACATCTTGCGGCCTAATGAAGTGCGTAAACACAACCCAGCCCAGCTTGAAATTAGAAGAAAAGAACAATCCCTCTGGGACTGCTGCTAGGGATATAGATATTTGCACTGTGGAAAGTTTTACTACACTTCTTATCTGATAGTCATTTTGAGGCTGGGAAGGAATTTTCCCCATCTGGTTGGTGAGCCTGGATTTATTTTTGCCTTCCCCTATAGCATGGGAATGTTTTCTTTTTGCCATGCTGGTGACTCTACACACATTTATTCCATGGTTGCTGTTTTTGGGTGTTATTATGCTGCACCTTGGTAGCTTCTTTTCTCTGCTCCTTCGGTCCTGGCATATTATAATGAACTATATGTGTTGTAACCAAAAAGAAGTTAAATCATAACAAACTTGTGTCGCGCTTGCTTACATCAGAAAATAATGTTGCTTCTGTGAGTCATGCGTAAGAGATTAGGGCACTGATGTTCCATATACTTGGCTCATTTCTAGCTTTTGAGATTTCTTGAGGCATGGCTGAACTGGCCTGTTTTCAGTCTACTCTAGGTAGCCAATATGGGCCAGAAACTTGCTTTTCTGAGGATGCTGACTTCAGTGTCAGACAATATTTTGAGCTTGACTCTCAGTGAAGTAACCAATAGTTCAGCTGGTTAGAGCATGGTGCTCCTAACACCAAGATTAAAGGTTTGATCCCTTTATGGGACAGCTGCATATTCCTGCATTGCAGGGGGTTAGACTAGATGATGCTCAGGGTCCCTTTCAACTCTATAAAGCAGGCATCCCCATCCTTTGGCCCTCCAGATGTTTGGGACTACAATTCCCATCATCCCTGATTACTGGTCCTGTTAGCTAAGGATCATGGGAGTTGTAGGCCAAAACATATGGAGAGCCGTAGGTTGGGGATGCCTGGTATAAGGGAAGCAACCTGATAAAGGTTGGCCTCTCTGCTTGAAGCAAATTGTGAAGACATCAGCATATTTGCCTTTAGGTTCACAATGTCTCGAATCATTATCCATCTGGCATGTGATAGAATCATAGAACTGCAGAGTTGGAAGGGACCATGCAGATCATCTAGTCCAAACCCTGCAGTGCAGGAATCTTTTGTCCAATCTCAGGGTCAAACTCATGACCCTGAGATTTAGACTCACATGCTTTACCAAGTGAGCTGTCCCTGACGTGGAAATAAGATTCATATTGGAATTTCAGAAATATTTGTTCTGATCATTCACAATTTATAATCAATTAATTTCAGCAATCCCTTTCAGTTAGGATATACTGGAACTGCTACTGGTTAACATGTCTACACTGTCAATCTCCTCAATGTAAAGTGAGCCAGCACACATCTTTCTGTAGTCATGTTCTTAAACTAGTATTGCAAAGTAGTGAGTGACTGAACAGCCCTCTTAGTCTATGATGGCAAGCACTGCCTGGAAGTTTCTATTGCATGTATCCTGGGAACACTTCATAAAACCATAGGCACGCATTAGCAATCCCATTGATTCCAGGATCAATAGGGAGGGGGAAAAAGATTTTATTTGACAGCCTTGGTTTAGTGGATCTTTGCACATTGGCTTAAGAAACCTAACAGATCTTTACTTGCCCCCAAGTTATAACTGAAAATAGAGAGAAAAGAAATCCTTTTATTTCTACATAAATATCAGCCATTTTTTTTTAAGGAAGAAGAAATGTGAAAACTCATTTTCTTGGTGGCCACCACTAGCCCAGTAAATTGCCTTCTAGCTGCCAGGAAGTTTTTCACACTTCATCATTAAGAATTATTCTCCAAATACTTTCTGCATGCTCTTATTTTCTACATTCCTTTTTTACTCAGTTGACAAGCACAAAATTAGCTGGGGGTGGATTTATATCCTGTCCTGCTGTGATAATCTTCTGCTCTGCGGCCTGCTCAGCTCCAGAGCTTGTTAGGGGCAAATGGAATGCTTGGGCTGGATAGGCACAGTGGACTTCACATTTTTCTTTCTTTCGAAGCCTTAGAGACTGAGAAACATCTGAGTGCTTAGGGCAGCTGCAGTGGCTTTATGTTTCTGGTAACCATAGCAGCCAACACTACATTGCAGGGGGAAAATAAAAATCCCGTGTCATATTAACATTAAATTGGCCCATGAGGATTTAAATTAATGAACTAGTCTGTTGTGCATCATGTACAGTGAAATTGTCTACTTCAGATCATTGTTGAGTTCTTATTCTTCCAAGGGCTTATGTTGTTTGACTTCTGTTTCCACATTTCTTTATGGGCATTTAGAAAGAAACAAGATTCTGGCCCTAACCCTATTTTCCATCACCTCATGGGAAATTTTAACATTCATTTCTTCAGAGAATTTTGCAAGGGAGAACTCTGAGTGATTTGTAATGTCAACTTAGCAATAGTTTTGCCCAAAATGAAAAACCAAAACTGAAAAACAAAATCTCTTTCAGGAAAAAGAGTTTCAAATGACAGACAGAAAGTTTGACATGGATATGGAAAAAGTTTGGATTATTGCTGGTTTTACTCAGGGATATAAATGCCTAATCCCCTATTCGATACATCCGTTCCCAAACAGGACACTGCATTTTATGAGTTTATTGAAATGTTTAGCAGCTGTTTTTCATATGCAGTATATTATATGTACAGTAAAATTATGCAGTTGTATCTTTTCCCCTCCACCCAGATGAGCTCATTTCCCTCCATCAATATTAGCTCCATTCTCTTGAAGTGGGAGGAGGTGGGAAAAACACAGTCAGCATATGAAACGAAGGCATTAAACATGTGTTGTGACCTTGGTTTTCTACGTATAACGATCACTGAAAGAAATTTAGGCTGCAATCCAATACACCTGGAAGTATGGCCCACTGAATTATTTCTGAGTAGAACAGGGGTAAGATTACACTGCTAGGAGTCTTACAGGCCAACCCCAGCATTTAAATTAGGGATGGGGAACCTGTTGCCCTGCAGACTGGGTCTGATGCTCGGAGGAGTCCAACAAAATTTGGAGGACTTCAGGTTCCCTATCCTTGACTTCAATGCTGATCTACTGAAATATGTAGTACATGCAATATCCTTATCTTCTCATGTGTTATACAAATGTATGAATGGCTTCACACCAGGCTGGGGAAGGCTGCATATTAGTCTCTTTTAAAGCTTCTATCAGACTGCATCCCTATTCTGCTGGTCCCCAGAGAGGAAAGGAAGCGCTGCTGGATACTTTTATAGTAGTAGCTCTGTGTGTGTGTGTGTAGGACATATTTGTTATGTATGCAGGCATTTTAGACCGAAGCCAGGCTGTATGCATGCAATACAGGCCTAGGCCTTCAGACCTCCTGGAGCTCAGGAGCTTCATCTGCATAACAAAAGACAGAGAGGCTTCTAAAACCCTCCAATGACATTGTTAGTAGCTGGCAGGCAGCCAGTTCCTGCTGAGACAGTACAGTGGTGCCTCGCAAGATGAAATTAATTCGTTCCGCGAGTTTTGTCGTCTTGCGAAGCACGGTGTCGGGAAAGTTTTGGAAAAGCTTCAAAAATCATCAAAGTCTTTAAAAACCTCAAAAAAGGCTACCACACCGCGTTCTATGAGTTGCTCCTCGAAGTCAAGTCGCAACTGTATTAACCGTGTTAAGAAAAAGGAAACAAACTTGCAAGACGTTTCCGTCTTGCGAAGCAAGCCCATAGGGAAAATCGTCTTGCGAAGCAGCTCAAAAAACAAAAAACCCTTTCATCTAGCGAGTTTTTCGTCTTGCGAGGCATTCGTCTTGCGGGGCACCACTGTATTGTGATTCACTAATTGCAGTATTAAGGTGACCTATCACAGGTGGTGTGTGTGTTTTACCTGGGCCGGCTTAAGGGATATATAGGCCAACTGGGCCAAGTACTCCTGTTTGTCATTCTTGTTCCTGATGCTCCAATAAATCCTTTTTTAGCTGAATCTTGGTCTTAGGTCATGCCTCAACCCATATTATCTCACCAAAGTGAAATGTTAACTTCAAAGGCAGTGAAAGTCAAATAGGCGAGTGTGTTGTATCCCCTGGTGGTTGGAAAATAGGCCTAGCTATGGGAATTTTTTAAAAGAAAGGTTCTGTTAAAGTTTTTTTTTGGTATCATCACTATATATTATTTCAGGAAACACAAAGACTTGGCAGGAAGGCACTGCTTGCACCAAGGCAGGGGGTCACTTTTCACCCAAGAACAAGGCAGATGAGTGACATGCCTGGCAGCGTATGGAGATTAGCAGGCACAAAATCCCATCCAGCTGAAGCTGCAGGAGTCCTGCAGCTGAATTCTTCATGATTACAAACCCTGAACGCAGCCTTGAACAGTTGTAGAGATAGAAACAGGGGCTACCAAGAGTCTCTCCTTACCCAAAGATATGAGAAGGCAAAGATTTAAAAAGAATATTGTGAATTCCTGTTGTTTGTAATTATTGTATGCTAAAACAGCATAGAACAGCTGAATGTACAAACAAGTTATTTCTAATTTAGTTGACATGTGTTCCAACACAAGCAGCTCCTATCTTCACATACTATTAGGCTATTTGAATTATGGTGCTGGAGGAGACTCTTGAGAGTCCCATGGACTGCAAGAAGATCAAACCTATCCATTCTTAAGGAAATCAGCCCTGAGTGCTCACTGGAAGGACAGATCCTGAAGCTGAGGTTCCAATACTTTGGCCACATCATGAAAAGAGAAGACTCTCTGGAAAAGACCCTGATGCTGGAAAAGATGGAGGGCACAAGGAGCAGGGGACGACAGAGGACGAGATGGTTGGACAATGTTCTCGAAGCTACCAGCATGAGTTTGACCAATGCGGGAGGCAGTGGAAGACAGGAGTGCCTGGCATGCTCTGGTCCATGGGGTCACGAAGAGTCGGACACGACTAAATGACTAAACAACAACAACAAATAAGGCTAGCACCAAACAGTCTACAGTTTAAGACCTGTTCCTTCATTGTTTTCCACAGATTCTCCTCCAGGTCTAGCATGTACTTGACAAATGAAATATTTTACCCTCTTTAAAAAATGCTTTTTTCTTTTTAAATGAAGAAAAAATATATATCAGTAAAATTTACAAGTAAAAAGCTCTAGACAGAGAGCAAACAATGAATGAAGCAAACAATGAATGACACAAACCATGAATGAAGTAGGAAACCCTACTGTTACAAATACAAGATACACACCCACACACCCACAGACACGTGTCCCAGATAGCATATAGAAGTAGAACAGGTGTAGTATATAGAAATAATGAAGCAGGTGATCCTGATGTGTGTCCTTGGTCCATGCAAACCTTTACACTTTCAGGCTGAACACCTAAGCAGAGCTATTATGATGTGTGAAAGCTATGGACATGGTCCTTTGCCAAACACTGTTTAACCCCAACAGTAATATCCACCATGGAGTAGAGATGGAAGCAGCAATTACAACTGAACCACAGCTAGGATGGCCAATGGTCAGGGACAGAATCAGCCCACCCATGAGGCAAGGTGAGGCGACCGCCTCAGGTGACAGAATCCACAAAGGCAATAGAATCTGATCTAGATCTCTATTCCACTCCTTGTTCCTCGTGCAGATCTTTCCTCAGCCCTTCTTCCCTGGCCATTTTGTGGCTTGCCTCACGTGCCAAAATGTCTTGGACCAGCCCTGTTCAAGGATTATAGGAGTTGTAGTGCAGCAACATCTGGAGCGCCAAAGAGTTCCTCACCCCTGCCTTAGAACAGTGTTCCCCAACCTTGGGCCTCCAGCTGTTTTTGGACTACAACTCCCATCATCCCTCGCTAGCAAGACCAGTGGTCAAGGATGATGGGAATTGTAGTCCAAAAACAGCTGGAGGCCCAAGGTTGGGGAACACTGCCTTAGAAGACAGCTCAAAGAGACGACAATACTAAAACTGCAATTTAGGGGCATGCATATTCTTTATTCCCCCCTCCCGATTTCTCATTTAGCATTGACTCTTAACACATTATAAAGTATTGTTTTGCATGTATCCCATTGCTAAGTGATACATGCAAAACAAAGCAGCGCAGGCTAATGAGAAGACCCTGAAACACAATTTTACTATGTGATATTGAAATGTTTCAAAGTTTGGTTTCCAGCCAAGATATCTAAGCAGAAAGTAGGACGGAAAATGCATAATGAATACTGAAGCTGAAAAACCTCTTATTTTCATTTTCTCTATTCATTTTATTATTCTCTTACTTGTTTAAGCTGTTAGGAACATCAGAGGAGATGATGTTGATGTTTCTGCAATTTTTAATTTCTGGGGGCGGAGAGAATCCAAGAAAATGTGTCAGCTAATGTTAGAAATTATTCATGCCTGCCTGCCAACACAAGACATCCCTTCCTCTTACAGCAAAAGGTCAACAGCACAGCAGATAAAAACTGCTATAGTCTGGAAGCTGAAGTTAAGGAAGGCATCCAGCTTACAAAACAAGCTGCTATTAGCACTGAGGGTTTTTACGGGCTTGAACCAGGGTTGCTTTGACCATGAGGAAGAGTATCTGGACACCATTAAAAAACACAAAATAGCCTGATATTTATTTATTATAAACAGTGTGTGAGGTGGTGATTATTTGTTTTCACCATAGTCACCAAAATGGCTTGGGATGGCTCTGCCATGAACCATCTGTTTGTGCAAAGGAAGTTTGGCTTGCTAATCTTACACGTATCTCAGGTCCTTTGTGGGCAGTCTTTCATTAGAACATAAGAATGGCCCATCTAGTCCAGCACCCTGTTCTCACAGGGGTTGACCAGATGCCTATGGGAAGCCCCAAAGCAGGGACCCAAGTGTGTTAGCACTACCCCACCCTGTGGTTTCCAGAAACTAGTATTGAGAAGCATTCTGCCTCCAACAGCAGAAGTAGAACATAGCCATCAGGGTTCCCAGCCACTGATAGCCTTCATTAATTTGTCTAATTATTTTAAAGCTATCTAAGTTGGTGGCCATTACTGCCTCTTGTGGGTGTGGATTCCATAGTTAAACTATGTGCAGTGTGAAGTACTTTCTGTTGTCAGTTCAGGTTCATTGGCTGCCCATGAGTTCTAGTGTTATGGGAGAGCAGGTTGCCCCCAAAACTGAGGGGGCCCAGCGTGTGCTGAGCGTCACATGACATCACGGGCATGTCACATGATATAACACATGTCTCCTGACACTGCGCAGGCCGGGGCAGCCTTCCGGTAGGCTGCATGCTGGGCTGCCTCAACATTGAGGTGGCCGGATCCCCTTGAGACAAATATTGAGGGGACCAAATACACCGTGGCCCCCTAGAGTTGGCACACCTGTGAGAGGGGGAGAAAAACTATTCTCTCTCCACTTTCTACATGGCATGCATAATTTTAGGCACTTCTTTCATCTTGCCTTTTCTTTAACTAAAAAGCCTCAAATGCTGCAGCCTTTCCTCATAGAGGAGCTGCTTGATCATCTTGGTCATTTGGGTTGCACGTTTCATAGGAATTGTGGGTTGGGGAAAGGAAGGGAAAAGAAGGAGCTTAGCTCTACTCTCACGCTTGCATCTGGATGCTTTGCAATAAGCACAGTAACGTAAGAACTGCCTTGGTGGCTGAGAGCAAGATGCATCAATCCAGTCTAGTCTTCTGCTTCAACAACAACAACCAGCCACATGTATTTGGTGAGGTCATGAGCAGAGCGTGAAAGTGATGGCCTCCTCCTGCTGTTTGTTCCCAGCATTTTGACACTCAGAGGTATAGCATGAAAGCTTTCCATCTTTAAAAAAGAGAGAGAAAATGAGATAAGGAATTACACAATAGATAAAGACACTGCAATAAATCAAGGCAGATAAAAACCATTCTGATGTTGCTGTGTGTATCTTGGCTTCTGGGCCAAACAAAGTGGGAAAGAAAAAGCCATTCCCTCTCCCTCCTGTAATTCTCAAGCTCCTTCTGGAAAGTGCAGACATTATCTCGATTATGAGCTGACTGGCTTGTGTTTTCTGTGGCAACGTGCTGCAGAGATGAAGTGGGGAGAGACCACACAGGAGCAGCCAATGTGCACATGATCATAATGTTTACTGATAACAAAAGGATGAGGAAACCGTAAGAGGCAATTTGTTAGTTTTTGAACGCAAGAGCCCTGAGGTCCATTAGAGGTTTCTCAGATTGCTTCAGGAAGCACTATCCACTGCACTGGGTGTCTGTAGATATAGGATTGATCCTTAAGGCTTTGCTGCAAGGTCACAACATTAGCCAAAGATCTCACTTTTTATAGTACTGAATGGTGTCTTTGTTTTGAGGGCCAGTTCCTTAAGCTCTTCATTAGTTTTAGTGGTGCTTTGAGGCTCACTGTGTACAGAAAATGCAGAGCCCATCTCAACAACTTGGCACTCTGGATTATCTGCTTATTTATTAGGCTCTTATCCTACCCACCTTCCAAGGAGCACAGGGCAGCAAACATGCGTCCCATCTCCCATTTTATCATCTAAACAACCTTGTGAGGTAGATTAGGCTGAGATATAAAGATAAGCTGATAATGCCAAGGTTGCAGGTTTGATCCCTCTGTGGGACAGTTGCATGTTCCTGCATTGCAGAGGATTGGACTAGATGATCCTCAGGGTACCTTCCAACTCTACAATTTTATGATCACTTAGTGAGCTTCATGGATGAACAGGCATTTCATTTTTCTTCCTGTTCCTAGGCCAGCCTCCACAAACCTAGTGTTCTCCAGATGTTTTGGACTACAACTCTCATCAGTTCAAGCCCACAAAACTCCAAGTAGAGCTTCTGAAGTAAACGAACTTAGCCATGCCTACTGATTTCAGTGGATCCACTTTGAGTAGTATTTAGTTGGATACCATCAATAGAAAGCAACAAGTGGATATTCATTTATCTGCAGGTTAAAATGAGAAGAATCCAAATTAGAATAGATATGTCACATGCCTATATTAGTCAGATGTGGCTATCCCAAATATCCTAATACAATGCTGGTTTCCTTTAGCACTCTTTGGGAATCTTTCAATAGATCTGTGGAATTTCAAAATGGTGCCAAAAATTTGTTAACAGGAATTTTGCAAAATGAGCATGAGGTCACAGTTGGAATGGGACTACTACTTTCTAAGGAATAAAATAATTAAAAGGCTGATAAAGGGATTAAAAGGCTTTCAATTCTAAGGGTGCCTCCTGATGTCCTGTGTATTGTGCATTCAGCCTGACTTGTTTGCAGGGAAGTTAGATGATGTTTCATCAAAGCATTATCATACATTTTCTACTGTATTTTCCTGTCACTTCCCTTATTACAAAAAGTCCACTATTTTGAGGAAGTGGGGTTTGTTTTGCAAGAGCCTGCAATCCACTGAAACTGTGCAACCTGAATTAGCTGGTATGTGATTAAATCCCATCTGAAAATAGTGACAGTCTGTAAGTGCATTTTGACCAGCCATAGATGCGCCCAAAGGGCTGTTTCTTTGTATGTGGATATGGATCGAGGCCTAATTCACACATGTTATCACTTAATATCTTATTAGAGGAAAGACATCACCACAGAATGTGTGACCTGCTACTATTGAAAATTAATGTGTTTGATAGAAGGTGAGGTGTTGGGAAAGCTCTCCCTCTGGTGTTGGATCTGTGATGGCAGTTTCACACATATAGATATCTCTACATACTGTTGCTTTCAAAGCATCCTTCTGAGAACTGCTATAGAAATTTAAGAATTTACTTAAACACAGTATTGGTATGAAAGTCAGTGCTGCTAATTTTTTAAGGAAAGGAAAAGCATATGAAATTAGTTTTGTATAGATGCTGATAATGTGATTTTTTATTTTTTATTTGGCATGGAAAACAAATCATTGGCCAACAGGAAGAACTGACTCAATGGAAACTACCAGGAAATGGCTTTCATATTCATTATTAATCTTGCCTGCCCAATGTTACAGGGAAAGGAAGAGCAAAGGATGAGAACCATTGCAGACATTTTGAACCCCCTGTGAGCTGGATTCATTTCAAAATAAGGCCCTCAGAATTTTTCTACTTGGGCCAATTGCATTCAAAACTCAAGTTTTGACTTTTTTCTTAACTGTATAAGAGTGAAGTGATTAAAGATTGGCTGGCTGCTTACCAGTGAGATATTTCAAGAAGAATAGCTCATTTAAGGGATTTTGTATGGAAAGGAAATACTGCTGTCTTTGCCTGTAATCTGTGTTCAGAGCAGAAAATATCTAAGTTAGAACACAGGGAAGGCTATCTTTTTATTAGCCTGACTTGATGATGAAAAGGACATGCAGAGCTTTTATCTATCTATAAGAACATAAGAAGAGCTCTTCTGGCTCAAAGCAAAGACCAACATTCTGTTCCCATAGCGACAAATCTACAAGCAGGACAGGAACACAATGGCATTCTCTGGATTATATTTATACTCTTGACCTTGGCTTACTTCTTGGATCTACAGATATATTCTTATGCAGCTTTTCTTCCTCTCATGCATTCCAGATGTTTTGGACTCCAATGACCACCAACATGGCCAACAGTGAGGCATGATGGGAGCTGTAGTCCAGAACTTCTGATGGACAGTAAGCTGGAGAAGTATGTGTTTGTGAATCACTGTCAGAATTCACATGACAACATCCACCATATTTTTGACATTCCACTGTAACATCCTTATAAACTATATTTAATTCTTAGGAGGGAATGATAGGGGACTTTATAGCTATGTATATGGAATGATCAGTTATCTTTGTATCTTTAGGTAGACTCCTCTTTCTGTAGTGAATTTTGGCCTTGTCACAGTATCATCTTAGAAATTCCATTTCTAGTTCATTCCCCTTCTGACTGGTGCTTTGCTTTTTATGGTGCAGGCTGAGGCCTCATTGCTATAGCACAAGTGGCTTTCATGTACTAGGCAAATATAATTGCATCACATCCAAACAACTTTGTACCACTTAATTTTGGAAACATCCAACACCAGCAGCTGTGCATACGAGTATAGAATATGGATGAACAAATCTGTCAATTTTGGTTTCTCGTTTCTCTTAACAGCATCATAAGCTCAGTTCACCACATTCCCACAGAGAAGTCATAAATATTGTTAGCATTTTAGTGTGCATTTCTCCTAATAGACACATTTTTGCAGGCAATTTCTCCTAATGTATCAAATTACTGCATGCTCTTTTAAACAAATATATTATCTTTAATGCACACTTTCTCCTATATGCATTTTTGTATGCAGGTTTTGGTTGGAGAACTGCAACACAAAATTCAGAAAAATGTGAATTTCAAAGGACAGCTCCATTTCAGCTCTCCTATTATTTCTCAAGGTGCTAATTGGGTTGGCATTAAAATGCAAATTGAATGGAATGCCCTCCACTACTTCAGACTGTTAGGATGATATTTTAGGGATATAAAAGCATTGTACAGGAAGCACTTTCTTTACAATGTGGTTACTGAATAAAAAATGACGAGTATGAAATCATTTCTTTGATTTGAAATGGTTTAAAGATCATCTCCACATTCTTCCTTCTAGCCATTTTGACAATTTGCGATTCTGCTGGGTTTCGTTCCACTTTTATAAAAAAAAACAAGAAGTGCTTATTTATTGTACCTGGCTATTGCCCAAAGTTAACTTTGAACATCAAAGGAAAAGCATAGGATTTGCATCCCTCAAATACATCAGCTTTTCTGTGTGTATTGTTAAAAACACCAGTCTTTTATTTATTTCTCTCACCCACAGGAAGGAGTTAAAAAAAGAAAAAGCCCAAAAGCCCAAAATAGTTTGAGGCTTGGTTAATAACAATAACAGATTCTTGGGAAAGATGAGTGCTTAGGGTTATTTCCACTCTGGGAATGAAATGAACGTAAGGCTGTTTCTTTCCAAGCCTAACAAGAGGAACACCTGGTATCCCACTCCCCACCCATGATTATAGATTGTGGACTGTGCTGGAAGGCTGTACAATTCCATCATCTTGGACCATGGCTTGAGCATGACACAAATACGTTTTTACAAGAATGGGAGCCCCAGGGTATAACAATTTTTTTTCTTGGGGCCTTTCCAGACAGTCCTTTTTTTGCATGATAAATGCAAAATATTGCAGTATTTTGTGGCAGGGGTATAGTATATGTTCCAGATACATCACTTCACTAGAGCAAGTGTACAACATGTCCCTGTAACACCACTATCAAATAGCAATACTTGTTTGCTGGGGGTAATGTACTTATTCATTCAACTGGTATAGTGCACGGATGTGTAATATACAAGTGTAACAATGGACAGAGATGTTCTTCTAGATGTGTCTATTTCTCCAAACCCAGTTGCTTAAATTCCAGCTGTGTCTTTGGCATGTGGCAATTGGTGGAAATAGTTTCTCTCATATAGAAAAATGGTTAGCTGTGCTAAGGTGAAGAGCAGAAGGAAGTAGAGGCATGGTGATAGGTCAAAGAAGATTGTGGCCCTTTAACAATATATTTTTTACCTACTATATTTCCTGTGTTTAGAAGAAAAAATCTGGATCATATGTAAAGGATAAAAAAGAGGGGCGAGATGCTGATATTGATGCTGATGACATCTAGTGGATGCTGTGAAAAAAGTGGGCATGAGCAGCACTGACTCTCCAATAAACTCCTGCCTGGAATTCAAGTTAAGAGCCAGTCTACAACTTTCTTCTGCCACATGAGTTGTCTGAACAGCACCAGGGTGGCAGCAACAGCTGCAAAATTCAGAGCCGTTCCTATCATGGCACTGAAGGCTGTAGGAGGGGAAGATCATTGTTCCAACCTAAAATATGAAAGACTTAATAGCAGTGAAACACTGTGGATCACAGCCTTCATGCTAAAGTTAATACGGTTTTGTGTCATTTCTTAAAATGTCACTGTCATAATCCCTCACATTCTCTTTAGCTAGGTTCCTAATTTGTGATCATGAAAATGAAAGCTAATGACTAACTTAATCTAGAATTGTAAGCTTCATGAGCCCTCTAACTAAATTGTCTCTTTATCTTTCCATGTTTCTTTCAGGTCTTGTCCTTCAGAGTCTGAGTGACAGAAAAGTGACTTTGAATACATCCAGAAAACAAACAGGGAAAAGAATAGCAAGTGAATTTCTGGAGTCCCTAACCTCTACTTTTAGGCATTAAAAATAAAAAGCCATTAAAATAATTGCAAACCTGTGTATGTCTGTGTACCTAATACATTCTCCTAAGCATGCAGAAGCCATTGGCTTATTTTTGGATGTCTTCTGGGAGAAGAGATGCAAGTATGGAAGTAGCTGCAGTGACTGTTCATCCTATGTAATGTTCCCTGAGCAGTTCAGGAAGCAGCCATACTACAGCGGCTGTCATGCTATGGAGGTGATACTGAATGAGAGCCCAAAGACCTCCGAAACAGGAATCCCTGCAGGTGCAGGTTCTTTTCTCACGATACTGAAACAGCAGTGGGGAAAAAAAAAAAGAAGTAATTCAGCCTTCAAGCTTCTATGCAGGCTATTAAGTGTGCATGGGTGAGCCTAGCACAGAAGATAACAACACTGGCTTGAATCAGATAAATTGTTCTTCTGACCTCACATCAAGGTTACACTTATCTCCCTTCCCCAGAGTGCACACTTCTTGTTTCTCCTCAAGGGATTTATGGCACTCAACACAGCTGCCACCAGCAGTCACACATTCTTCCCTAGGGAGGTCTAATCACTGCACCTGTCCTGCGTGCAAAAAGATATCATAAACCATGCCATTATCCTTGACTGGTTGGAGTTTAATCAAAAAGTGTTTTCATGTGCTTCTGAATGGACCAGAAATGAAGTCGGGTGGTTTTTCCCCTCTTAGCAGGCTTCTAGGGTGGGCTTTTTGGGGTGTGGGGTGTGGTGGGCTGTTAGATAAACATAAGGAAACTGCAATTGAATTTAGGTGGCTGTTGCTGATTGTCTCTGAGTAACCCAGGTACACTGGAGGCTGAAGCTCTAGGACTTTATTTGTGATGAGAAAAAGGAAATTTAGGCAGAGGCGGCTTGTCAGGCAGGAATGAAATTCTGCTGCGGAAGTGCCTTTGCTTCTGTTATGGCTTACAATGGTGCAGGAGCCCTGACCTCACTGACATCTAGAAGAATTCAAAGGTAGGTGCGTCTTGGAGGTTGGCTTACCAGCCCAATGCATTTCAAGTCTATTGACTCTTCCTCTGGGCAAAGTGATTTGGCTTTTTCAAAATATGCTCGAGACAGTATGGCTTGGATTGCAATCCTAACCCTGGAAGTGATCCCTCTTGAATTCAGCAGGACTTACTTCAGAGTAAACATGATTAGATTTGCAGTCTTGATCATGTTCTGAAAGAGCTAAATCAGTTAACCCTGAAGAACAGACAATAGATTTAAAAGACATATTGGGCTGGGCCAGGAAGCCATTCATTCTGTGCCTTTGCAGTTTCCTCTCTTTGTTCTTGAATCTGCTGTTCTCCCATATTCCCTCCAGATTTATACCTGCCTTCAACAGAGCTCAGAAGCAACTGAGCAAATTCTATTAGTCAATGAATTGGGTGGTGGTGGGCCATTAAGAAAGAATGAACCCGCCACATTCACGTCACAAAACTGGACCTTAAGTTCATATGTGACACCAGCTATTTTTATTAGTATGTTGTAAATTATTGAGATGAAGAGTCTGTGCATAAATATGTTGACTACATAGACCCTTACTATACCAATGCAAAATAAATAGATTTATGCACAGTGGTTGCCATTCAAGAGCATTTTGAAATTCAGAACAGCTTTTAAAACAGTATTTCACCCAACCAAAATGGGTTCTCTGGAGGAAATACCCACAAATAGAAGGGGAGTCCTCTAGTGTTCGTTTCATTTGTCTTTTTAATTTTTCTTTCTTTAAGAAAATGAATAGATTCTTTGCCTATCACATGTTTACATGCTGGCTGTGTGACAGATAAAAGCACACTTCCCATAGTGCTGGAATAGCAGCCCTCTCAGTGCAAAGCTGTTGCATCATCAGCCCCACAAGGCTGAGGTGAAAAAGATGCTTTTGTGAAGCTAACAGCTTTTTTATTATTAAAAAAAACATGCAAGCAGGAATTAAGCAGACAAAACTTCACCTACCCCTGGAAAAAAGTAAAGTCCTATATTTCTCCATGCCAGGCTTCATACATGCGGCTTTTTCTACATAATGTTTTCTACATAATATTAGCATTTTCAGCATCCAGGCACCACCCACGCAAGTACTGTTGTTGATATAGAATCAAGCACATTTATAGTAGTGCATTTCTCTGGTCAAATGCCATTGGAGGTTTTCAGTATCTGTTGTGGTTAGTTAAATGGTACCTGGCTGCCTTTTCCAGTCTACTACTTCTGCTTGCCAGAAGCCTCACTGGCTTATACCATTATAAACACTTGGGCATAATTTGGCCTTTAGAGAGAAGATTGTCCTTTTCTAATTTTGTCGATCATAGAGGAGGCCCATAAGCCCTCTTTAAACTCTGTCACTCAGCATGGCAAGAATGATGGGGCTGGAGTGGTACAGACAGGCCAGTACTTATAGTTTAATAATGCCTGAAGATGTATTCCGACATTATGTTCTTAGACATGAGGTTGATTGTAGGAGGAATCCTATGACTTAAAAGCAGAACGTGGTAAGTGCATACAAATATCCAGCAATATTTGTGAAAAATGTGACCATTTTTTTTAAAGAAACGGATTATTTATATGTTACCTCAGAAGTATGCTCCACTGAGTTAAAGAGGGCTTACTCCTAAGTAAGCATGCATAGAACTATAGTATCACAGCAAGCTCTGTGTGAAGAGCATTAAATCCCTGGCATCTTCCAATTTAGAAGGTTCTCAGGTAAAGCGAGGGCCCAGGAAAGAACGCAGGCAGCTCTGCTTGCATATATATCGTTTGTGAAATATGTTGATGGCACTTCCCCCCCCACAATACTTTAATGGGATGTGCACTTTGAATATGGCATTTGAGACTACAGCAAATGATATATGCTGTGGAAAGGCACTTTCAGACAACTTGCATCATTAATAAAAGTCCCAAAGCAACCCCTCAGCTACAAGAAAAGGCATTTCAAAATGATAGGCTGAAGGTTGTCATTGGTCTCAGTGAAGGAATGAGTAATAGGATACTGAGGGAAGAGAGACAAAACAGAATGAAATTCAACCTCGACATCTCTTTATACCCACCCTCTTTATCCTTGCTTCAAGGCTGCATTTCCCCCTCCTTTCCAAGGACCTGTGAACTGCTGCACGTCTGTCTCCTTGTGTATATGTTTATACAGTAGGAGCTTAAATTCACAACCTCCCCAATATTGCTTGAAACATTAGCATATTACCTAACACCACAATCCTATGCAGAGTTTTGCAGATTCACTGAATTAAATGAGGCTTACTTCTAAGGAAGTAGGCACAGGATTTCAACCTTAACAGTCATTGGTAATAATAATATATAATAATTTATTATTTATACCCCGCCCATCTGGCTGGGTTTCCCCGGCCACTCTGGGCGGCTTCCAACAGAATATTAAAATACTATAATACATCAAACATTAAAAGCTTCCCGAAACAGGGCTGCCTTCAGATGTCTTCTAAAAGCCTGGTAGTTGTTGTTCTCTTTGACATCTGGTGGGAGGGTGTTCCACAGGGAAGGCGCCACTACCGAGAAGGCCCTCTGCCTGGTTCCCTGTAACTTGGCTTCTCCCGAGGGAACCACCAGAAGGCCCTCGGTGCTGGACCTCAGTGTCCGGGTAGAACGATGGGGGTGGAGACGCTCCTTCAGATATACTGGACCAAGGCCGTTTAGGGCTTTAAAGGTCAGCACCAACACTTTGAATTGTGCTCGGAAACGTACTGGGAGCCAATGTAGGTCTTTCAAGACCGGTGTTATGTGGTCTCTGCGGCCGCTCCCAGTCACCAGTCTAGCTGCCGCGTTCTGGATTAGTTGTAGTTTCCGGGTCACCTTCAAAGGTAGCCCCACGTAGAGCGCATTGCAGTAATCCAAGCGGGAGATAACCAGAGCATGCACCACTCTGGCGAGGCAGTCCGCAGGCAGATAGGGTCTCAGCCTGCGTACCAGATGGAGCTGGTAAACAGCTGCCCTGGACACAGATTTGACCTGTGCCTCCATGGACAGCTGTGAGTCCAAAATGACTCCCAGGCTGCGTACCTGGTCCTTCAGGGGCACAGTTACCCCATTCAGGACCAGGGAATCCTCCACACCTGCCCGCCTCCTGTCCCCCAAAAACAGTACTTCTGTCTTGTCAGGATTCAACCTCAATCTGTTAGCCGCCATCCAACCTCTAACCGCCTCCAGGCACTCACACAGGACCTTCACTGCCTTCACTGGTTCTGATTTGAAAGAGAGGTAGAGCTGGGTATCATCCGCATACTGATGAGTGCATGCTTTGCATGCAAAAGATTCCAGGTTAAATCTCGGCATCTCCAATTTATAAGGATCATGGCCCAGGAAGAGGGTTTTAGCAACCTTGCAAGATCTAGCGTGGAAGCAGCTTCTGTCTGGAGAAGCTACAGTGGGCACACCAGCTAAGCTGATGAATGGCAAAGCCTCTCCTCCTCCGGGCGGGGAGGTGTTGTGGGCGGGATGCGATTTCTGCATCACGCAGGGGGCGTTATGCCCCTTCCCCACTCACCTGGCTGGTGCACCACGCCCACAGGTAAGCGCCCAACCGGGCGGCTTGGAGGGGGTGTGGTTTGCGGTTTAAGATACCGCTGCGCCAGCCATTCCGCCTCACTTTTCACCTTCTCGTCGGCGAGGATTGGGTCCTTGAACTACAAAGCCTCTCCTCCTCCCGGAGGGGAGGTGTTGTGGGCGGGACGCGATTTCTGCGTCACGCAGGGGGCGTTATGCCCCCTGCCCCACTCACCTGGCTGGCGCACCACGCCCACAGGTAAGCGCCCAACCGGGCAGCTTGGAGGGGGTGTGGTTTGCGGTTTAAGATACCGCTGCGCCAGCCATTCCGCCTCACTTTTCACCTTCTCGTCGCGAGTCACCCACCCACCACTCCCTTAGGGCTTAGGGCTTAGGTCTTAGCTTTTTGATTGACCTTGCTATGGACCTTTGGTTGGTCGCCCAGGTTGCCCAGGGGGCCTGGTAGGAATTTTTCCTACTGGCATTAGGCC